TAGACTGACGCACGGACGGTCGGACGGACTTCCTCAGGAACTCACGGACGGTCGGGGACATGTATCCTAACATGTATGATCGATGTACTAAATTTGAATGAAAACTGACAAAGCATGTCCAAAATACGACATTTTCAAAAAACAAGATGGCTGCCAGTCGGCCATCTTTGATCCAATTGTGAAATAAATCATCATGGACATGTATCCTAACATGTATAATCTATGTACCAAGTTTGAATGAAAACTGACAAAGCATGTCCAAAATACAACATTTTCAAAAAACAAGATGGCTGCCAGTCGGCCATTTTGAATCGAATCGCTAAACCACTGCATGTGCATATGTCCCACATAAAGTACTAGGCACATGCAAAGAATGAACGGAATCGGTCCAAGGGATTCTGAGATATGACTCCGGACGGACGCACGGACGCACAGACGCACGGACACACGGACGGACGGAGACCGAATTATAAGTCTAATTATAAGACTAATAACTTTGTTCTTGACTACTGATGTTCAAAGATACATCATCCTAAAATCACCTTGTTCCTGACTACTGATGTTCAAAGATACATCATCCTAAAATCACCTTGTTCCTGACTACTGATGTTCAAAGATACATCATCCTAAAATCACCTTGTTCTTGACTACTGATGTTCAAAGATACATCATCCTAAAATCACCTTGTTCCTGACTACTGATGTCCAAAGATACATCATGCTAAAATCACCTTGTTCCTGACTACTGATGTCCAAAGATACATCATCCTAAAATCACCTTGTTCCTGACTACTGATATCCCAAGATACACCATCCTAAAATCACCTTGTTCCTGACTACTGATGTCCAAAGATACATCATGCTAAAATCACCTTGTTCCTGACTACTGATATCCCAAGATACACCATCCTAAAATCACCTTGTTCCTGACTACTGATGTCCAAAGATACATCATCTTAAAATAACTTTGTTCTTGACTACTGATATCCCAAGATACATCATCCTAAAATCACCTTGTTCCTGACTACTGATGTCCAAAGATACATCATGCTAAAATCACCTTGTTCCTGACTACTGATATCCCAAGATACACCATCCTAAAATCACCTTGTTCCTGACTACTGATGTCCAAAGATACATCATCTTAAAATAACTTTGTTCTTGACTACTGATGTCCAAAGATACATCATCCTAAAATTACCTTGTTCCTGACTACTGATGTCCAAAGATACATGCTAAGATCACCTTGTTCCTGACTACTGATGTCCAAAGATACATCATCCTAAAATCACCTTGTTCCTGACTAATGATGTTCTAAGATACATCATCCTAAAATCACCTTGTTCCTGACTACTGATGTCCAAAAATACATCATCCTAAAATCACCTTGTTCCTGACTACTGATGTCCAAAGATACATCATCCTAAAATCACCTTGTTCCTGACTACTGATGTCCAAAGATACATCATCCTAAAATCACCTTGTTCCTGACTAATGATGTCCCAAGATACATCATGCTAAAATCACCTTGTTTCTGACGATTATCTCACCACCCTAAAGACATATTGTTCCTAATTACTCTTTATTTATTTTGATTCATCATCCTAAAATCACCTTGTTCTAGACTACTGATGTCCCAAGATACATCATCCTAAAATCACCTTGTTCTAGACTACTGATGTCCCAAGATTCATCATCCTAAAATCACCTTGTTCTAGACTACTGATGTCCCAAGATTTTTTAATTATGTCCCAAAAAATCACCACCCTAAAAACATCTTGTTCCTCATTACTCTTTATTTATTATGATTCATCATCATAAAATTACTTTGTTCCTGACTACTCTATGTACCTAGATGCAAACAATTTAGTTTAGAATAGGGTAGTACCTTCAAAGCATCCAAACTAAGATATCCTAGATGTGATAATAGAAGTCTGGTAGGATGGAAATCCTGACATGGTTTAGGAGATTTAACTTCAGTACGAGGATCAGGATATTCTTGATTTGTTATCTCATCCAAAGTGACTTCTCGCACATGGCGTTCTTGATCAGCTTGTTCCTCAATCAATTTTAAAAGCTTTTCATGCTCCTGCCTTTGCTGGTCTGTTTCTATCGAAGCCAAGGAAGGAATACTTTGATCTCTGAAAATTTTTTCAAAAAAAGAAAACAAAGTAATGCACTTGTTATTCAATATGGTGAAATTGAACAAAATGAATCATAAATGTGATCACTCTTACGCTTTTGTGACAGGGGCATTGTCAACTATTTCTGGAAAATTTCTTGATGTGACTTCATAGTGTGTACCCATATCATTGACTGGCATGGGACGACCTGGATCAGATAAATATGCCTGTATGGAAAGACAAAATGAAGTGTCATATCACCAATCATGTCTTAAAGTACATGTCAACCAAATTATGATATGTAGTATGCATAACCATGTAAATAGATCAGTCAAATCAATATCTTTAGGATGAAAATGACCACCAGTTTGGCAAAAAAAAAATCAAAGAAAGCTTGTCCAAATATTGACACATGAAACTCTAAGATAGCACTCTCCTATTTCAGACCAGATCAGAACAGTTACTATTACAAATAATTGAAAGTAGTGAAGATGTTTCTATACCTTTTGATTTCTTGATAAATGTTTAAGTTGCATTGTCCATGCATGTCTTCCACTATGACCTCTTAAGATGGATGTGACTGTTGGTAAAGGATCTATAAATTAAGAGTTCAAATTCATTACTGCCAAAAAAACACTTTTCCAATCAACTGTATGACAAGAAAAACTCATTGGCATCATACAACTATAAAATCTTATATAAACCAATCACTGAACATGATTGAAACAGCTTTTTAAGTTTGCTCTACTCTCCTAAATTTAAGATGAGTCTCAATACAATCAAGATATAGAGAAATATACTGTAAATCAGCTTTCATCTTTACTGACTGACAATCACAATAAACATAATGGTTACCTTGGTTACTACCAAGAGGTTGTTCCAACACTGCTAATAATACTTTATTCTCCAGTACAAAGTAATTAAAACTACCACTCTTATCGTTAGCATACTTCCCTTTGGCATATCTCAATAAAGAGTCCTCATTCAACAAAGAACAAACAGCTTCTGCACCGCATGGTGGGGGAAAATAACCCTGTAGACAAAAGATTATGAATTTATTAAGGAGAATTTAGAACAGATAACGGAATGCCTATACAGATTGGCCAAATAAAACTTACCAAATTATCCATGATATACCCTCTAACTGATTCAGCTGCTTCTCGAACTCTCAATGAAGCTGGCTTCTGTTCTTTGTCATGCTTGTAAATTTTTGGTTCACTCATCTTGTTTTGAGATTTACTTCCAGATATGCCAAGTTCTACAACTTCTAAGACACAATGAAGGCACTCCTTTAAAAAAATGAGAATCACATTCAATAAAAGATGTTTTGTGATATGTTTCAAATGACAATAAGGCATCTCCACTTACTCATTCACAGCAATACATTGAAATCTTACCTTATCATCTAAGAGATAATGATGTTGTATAATCCATACACTCAGACACAGATATGCTGCTACAATCATAGTATGTAGATCTCTTGAATGATTGGGTGCTGGTCTACTACACTGATATGATATGTAATCACAAATCCACTTCACAGCTCTTCTACATTCCAAGGTATCTACAAATAACATTCAAAGTTGTGAGCAAATTTCTTAATTACTGAATCACATATATAGCGTTGTTTTTGAGTTTTGCAAGTAAAAGTCTTGTGACTCAGTTTGTACAATGACATAGACTTGAAAAAGCAGAAAATATTAACACAAATATTAATAATTTGGGGTTGTCAACTGAATTTTAAACTAAAGTATGTGATATAAATCATTATTTCATCATTTCATTTTCATGTGAATGGCAGAGTTAAATACCTTGTATATGAAGCTTAACTTTGGCCAGTCCTGACAACAATTCCAGTGCTGCCAGTGATATGTGCAGTTCTGTTTTCCATGAAGACATCAACCGTTGACACACAAGGTGAGTACAACGAACAAACAAACCCCAGGCAGTATCTGAAAATGGTCAACAGATTGTATTTAAACATCACTGTGTACAATTTAAATATAATCCATCACACCAACTTTACTCCACCAAATATAATCCATCACACCAACTTTGTTTACTGGAGAAACTACTAGATTAGAAAGACTATGTCAATTATCAAATACATGTATCATGTATCTGAAAAATTTTAATTTTAGCAAGAAATCATCAACATTGAAAAATACATGATTTAAATAGAGCAGCAATGTATATAGAATTATTCAGTAG